CTTGTGTTCAGCCAGCTGTTGACCAACACCCCCAGGTCCTTTTCTGCCAGGCAGCTTTCCGGCCACACTCCTCCCCAAGCCTGTAGCGTTCCATGTGGTTGTTGTGACTGAAGTGCAGGACCCGACATTTGGCCTTGTTGAAACTCATACAGTTGGCCTCGGCCCATCGATCCAGTCTGTCCAGATCCCTCTGCAGGGCCTTCCTACCCTCAAGGAGATCAATACTCCTGCCCGGTTTGGTGTCATCTGCAAACTTACTGAGGGAGCACTCAATCCAGAGGTTTTGTCACCCCATGTGGTGCTTAATTCCCGGTGTTCAGGCAACAATCCTGCCTAAAGAGCCACTCAGCCCTCCCCGTGCAAGGCTGCCAGTTACCCAAGGCAACAGTAACAGGATCGACACTTTGCATCCAGAATAATCCCTGCAAGCTGGCAGCATAATGCCAGCAGTACCAATCTGAAAATTAACCTATACCAAAATTATTCCTTTTTATCAATAAAGGAAACAGTAATTCTTGTAGGTATGTATAGCAAATATGCATGATCGCTCCTTATTTAGGAATCGGGTATCGGAAAGGAAATCACATTCTGTCATTGTCAGAGTTGCTGAAGGGATCAGAAACCAAATCTTTTGAAAACCAGCAGATACAGAAATTGCACTGATATGTGATCCTCCTTCCCTTATTTGCACTGAAAACATTCTCTGATGACATCCAAAAAAGGAATTTTGATCAGCTTTCAGAATGTACAAACTAAAGTAAATGAGAAACATTGTTCCACCTTCTCCAACACTGATAAGTTCTATCTGCTTTGGATTGTCATTGTCTCAGACTTACACTATCGCAATCTATCTCATTTTTATGTAATTGAATATTATGAAAAACTATACAGAAAAGCATCGCCTAGAAGGTGTTCATCAAACTGTATTAAGTATGGATGAGAAACTTTATATGATAAATAATTTTTAAAAAGCTACTCACACATCTCAGTGGGATGAAAACAGGCTTTGCACCTGCCATCTTTACCATTGGTTCATAACAGTCATAAAACGGCTCTATTATTATTACCTGAAATTACAATCATCAGTATCAGAAACGGAGAATTTACCATGCATGATACCATCATATTTCTAGATTTACTTTGGTGGTATAACTTGGATCATGTTTCTGGCACTCTATCCTGATCTAACGTTGCAGAATATTCCTCAGTCTAAGTATGATAAGCATGACTCATTTTTGACAACACACACAGGCTGTTCTTCTATAGTTACATATTACAACTACTAAGATATAATATTAGGAATGTTCGGGTCTTGCACACAGATTTGAAGGTGGAAGGCAAAGATGCAAACATGGGAGACAGCAAATGCAAATTGTTAAACCACAGCACAGCTGCCCTAATTCTGCCCATGAATTTCCATGATTTCCAAGAATCTAGAAATCTCAAAAGAACAGCTTAAGTCCTCAGATTTTATCAGAAGAAAATTTTCAGGTAGAAAGAGAGGACAAATTCAAGGAAAATTGTGTAGAGGCTAGATAATAGCAAAACAAAAGAAAATCCCAAAGGCTAATAGCAGAGAACTGTTACAAAAAAAGAGAAGTGAGTATCAGAGCAACAGAAAAGGAAGAAAAGATACAGATGAGAATACAATATACAAGTGGAACCAACAAAACACTGAAAGCAAAATGCATGACAACACAAAAAACTCATTTCCACTACAGATACAAATATCCCCCCCAAATGACTTTTAATATCATTGTCAAAAAGGCAGACATCAGTAGTGAAGTACACCATCACAGCTAGCACAGTAAAATAACAATCCTTTCTTTAAAGGACTTTCCTGCCACTTATGCTGCTACCATGCAATGGTCCAAAACAGAACTTGACACACAATGGTTATTCAAACACCAACAATACTTTGCGCCACCCTTAGTCTTCTGTTGCAGACAACAGCCCACAAGTTTTCTCAAATAAGAACTCAGTGCGTACTGTGTCACCTAACGGTAACAGTGATAAAGAAACTGCTACAGGTACCATAACTATGAAAGAAAGGGCTTTGTAAGGTGGTCAATGATAGGAAGACGTCCAAAGGATAGTCTCCTCATCACAGCTTCTGAAACTTTGTCAGATGTGCAACTGTAACAAATCCAATGAATGGAGATCAGAAAGAAGCCCCAACATTAACTTGTATTTAAAAGTTGATGAATAAAAACCAGGCAAATTCTCATTTCAGTGAGTATATGTGAATACTAAGAATAAAAACTTACTTCGTCACCCTCTCCAATTAATGCCTGTATTGTACTAAAGAGAGATCCATAAGCCCCCACGGTCACCAGGATATCTGTGAGAGGATCAATCTTTCTTCCACAAACTCTCTCGTACACTTGAGACAAGGCTTTCACAAGCGAAGGATGTCCCTGTTCAAAGAAAACAAATGCAACTGATTGGTGTATTCCTGACAATGTACAAAGGCTATGTTTGAGTTTTTTTCAACATATATCAAAATAATACATTTTGAAATAGAAAAATACAAGATAAGCCCCCAATATTAATGGCTGTTAACAGGTAGCATGGTTTAAAGCTTTTACACATTAGGGAAGAAAAGTGGTTTCAATTTATTTGTATCTGCTAGGAAATTATTTTTGTATATCTGATGCTTTTTAATTTCTATCCTATTATCACATCTCAGGATAGCTCCAGGTAGCCTATAGTAGAGCTAGGTCAAGAGACGGGATGAGAGAAGGGAACACCCTGGCACCAATTCATCCTCACTTCCTCTAGAGCCTCTTTCCTATCTGCCCATATTTCCATCTGAAGTTCCTTCTGTTTCCTTCCTTATCTTTCCACTAAAAATTATTTGGTGCAAGGGGAATCTTTTTATTCTGTTTATATACTGCTGATAAACCTCATGTGTGATCAGAATGATGATTCATACAGTCGTAACGCAAATCTCAGAGCACCATTCACCATTTGTGTCCCCTACAGGGACATGGCAGTTAACGTACTCTTGTCAAAATGTGCAAAGAACAAGAAAACAAACATGCAACAAAGATCATATACAATATGCAAATAAGAAGGAACAATTCTGTCGACTCAGGAAGAATACAGGTTTCCTGCTGTGAAAACCTTTTTTCTTTTTGGGTATTTGGTAGAAATAAAAAACAGCTCCCTGAGAAAACACAACCATATAACACTATTCCTACTCTACAATATTAAACATCGTACCTCTACACACAAGGCACGAAATGATGAACCTTTCTGTAAACAAAAACATTACTATAAATTAAGGCTTACAAGTCGTCAAATGACAGCCATTTCTTGCCATCAGTGTGTCAGCTACACAGGAATGCTGCAACACCCAAGTCACGTTAGCCCACACTACAGGCCATAGCCCTACAGTCAGTGAGAGGTCCAACTGCCACAGAGAGTTGAGACAATGTCTCAATTATCAGATGGATGTGCATCATTCATACTCATCTCTCCCATATTTGCAACCACAAATACTTGTGCTCAAAAGCTTTAAAAGTGCAGAAGTTTGTAGAGGAAGTGCAAAGGCTGAAGATGGGAATATTGGTAAAAATTCCTCTTTAATTACTGTCTACAGTATAATATATCTGCCAACATCCATAATTATCATGGGAATTATCAAACTGTTTGGAAATAAAGAATATAGTGACAGAAGTAAATATTGAATAATTGCAAGCATTGGGAAAATTGCATTTATGCTTAATTTGCAAATTGTTTTAGAGAATCAGTCTGTGAGTATTTGTCAGAAGGTAGATTGTAGCCCATTCTCTCTGTAACCTTTCCCCTTACACCAAGGCTCCTCCAAAACCTTGTCTGTCTGATGAGCAAAGACTTTTCAGGTACCTTATAATGGGTGATGAACACACTGATGCTTAGCCCAGAAGTTCACTAAATCCCAGCCATCTTTTGCTGGTGTCCAACACGAAATAATTGCTTTGTACTTTCAAGTTTATATATACAGAGACAGGGTTTTTATATATATATATATCTATATCTATCTCATACTTGCAGAGAGTCTTTGCACACAGCTAAAGATGATTAAACAAAATGACCCAAAGAGGAATGGAATGAGACTACAGTCACTGGGGATTTTTTTTTTTTCTTTCTGTTCTTGCCAGGGCCCTGAGTGCCCTAGTAGGCCTTACTGGCCCTGACCAGCCCCACCTGGGGCCTCTACCCAGAGCAGTGCCCCTGGACTCCATGGAAGTGCTACAAAGCAGGGTTGCTGATCTGCAATTCAGTTACAGCCATGCCTACACCTGGCCATAGACCCTGCTGAACCTGGCCCCTACCTGCAGACTGATTTTGTGGCTTGACCTTAGACCTGCCATGTCACCCTGGACCTGCCCAGTGATCGCTGGGCTATGTCTAACCATGGTTAGCATTGCAGGGCCTGACCTGTGGATTAACTTCCAGGCTTGACCTCAGGCCACCTCACCACCAGAAGCTTGCCTGGTGATCCGGGCTGACCTCAGCTACCAGCTCTGGGCCTGCCTTGCTCAGGTGCTGCGGGACTGGGCCCTGGCTGGTGAGTTCTCCACCCTGCTCGCTGTGACAGCTTCTCCTTTGAGGACCTGCTGGCCACTGCTGCTCCCTGTCACTTCATGCAGATTCTCAAAGAATAGGCAAAAAGTTATGCTGGAATATATACACAATGATGCCACAATTACCAACACAATTGCTGGCCTACCAGTCTATACAATGTTTTTCTATGACAGTTGCATAACATGGTCATCTAGAAAAATATTAGATAGACTCCTTGGGGTCTTGTAGCAATCCTGACACATGATTCTCAATTGGACAACATGGTTTATCTTTACCACAAAATAAAAGACAGACAAACCAGACAAGGAAGTGGTCATAGTAAAACAGGAATAGTCCAGTTGAATATCCTGTCTTGGACAATGATAAATGCCACACACTCACACCCAGCTCAAGACATAAACTCTACAAGCCATCTTACGGAATGGGTAGTGACTATCTTCCAGGGGCAAAAACTTACTGGTTTCATCATTTCCTAATCTCCACTGAAATCTACTAAACGTTATGGATGAATCTTTTCTTGATCCTAGAGGCACTGTGTCAAGTATTTCTTTCTCATTCTACCATTACCCTATCTGATTCATGTTTACACTGACCAAAATCAGAGGTAAATGTATAATTTGCATGCTTTAAACTGTGAACTGACTCTTCGAAGACAATCCATCCCAGACGTGCTCTACCATTTTGCTCTTGCTGAAGGATTCTGTCTTGAAGAAGCCTACACAAAGGATGTTCATTAGTAACAGATAAGGCTACTAGATCGACTTCATTTGGGACATAACAGTATGGCTTACAGATAAAACCAGTTTAAAGGAAAGTCATTATTTTCCCTGTGGCATGTTCTCCACTGAACTTGGGTCCTCAATGTCCACAGTACTTACAAAGCCTCGTGTGTACTGGTTCAGTTTGTCAACTGCTGCTGCCTTTGCAAGCTCTTCTTTGACATAGCTAGGAGGGGAAATATCAGGAAGGCCTTGACCAAGATTAACAATTGAGGGATCTGCTGCCACCTTTGTAAATTCAACCCTAAAGGGAAAAAACATCTTAAAGTTAACATACCAGATAAAATTATCTTTTTCTTCATTAGCACTAAAAGGCAATAAAAAAGTATTTAACTTTGCCAAATTCACAGCAGTGGAAACATGTTTAAGTAAAATGCTCACATGGAGAGGCGGGGGCTGAGACAATGGTAAGTAACCATAGGAGTCAGAGGAAACCCAATAAAAGGGTGACTTTCTGCACCTGCAGAATAACTTTTCTGCCAGCAGAATTGTGCTCAGATGCGCACACGCACAAACACACAGTAACTCTGGATGTGGGCAGAAATAGAACACTGCCCTCTTTGCAAAATGAAGTAGACCTAATTAGAACAGGCACATTATATGTTTTAAAGGCTAGATTCTGTCAAGTGAAGGTGTAATTTAAACTATCCAGCCACCTCAGAGTGCTTTTTTTTGTAATTTTAGGCAACAGACTTTCAGGCTCTTCATTAACTGTTCCTAGTAGCCTGCCCAATACGAAAGTGAGAATTCTTGAACAATTTTTTTTTCCTCTCTTCACAGGTGAGCATTGCATTTTACCCCTTCCTCCCTACCCAAATGTTAACAAGATTAAAAAACAAACAAACCAACAAACAAAACAAGAAAACCCACATAGCATCACAGTTCTGTCAAAAACAAATACAAATTGCATTAGTTTGAAGCTGGATGATCAAAACACCTTGGGTGTATATACACACAACTAATGTAAGCCCAAAATAGTGTTTCCACCAACTAAAGAAATTCCACATTTACCAGTGATAGCAATATTGCTTTAAGGCCAACTTAATACCTTGAAAAAAGTATATTAAAAATAATGAGCTAAATTATAAAGACAAGTATAATGGCTTTAAAAAGAAACCTGACTCATCTGGTAAACACAAATCAAGTGTAATTAAAATACATTACTCAACAAAATTAACATTTAAATTTGAAAGTCAGCTATACTTCCATGCCCAAGAGTTATACTTGTCTTACATAATTTACTAGATGAAGAAAAGCCCAAGCCTAATATTTAAAGCTCGAGAATAAGAATTCATTCACACCCTTAACAGAATTTGGTTCACTACTTCTAAACAGGTGCCAAATACATTTCAGCAGAGACAGCAAGTGCTATGTACCTTCTTGTTGGCAATAATTATCAGTTTCGAAAGAAAATGTACAGGCCAAAGACATTTTCTGAAATTTGTACATATTTTCCTTTTACTTACCACACATTGCTATCAAGGCCTTCAATTCGTCTTGTGTTTTTGTGTCTGAAGGCCATTGTCTGCAAGATCAAAATATACAGACAGAAGGGTTTTGTTAAGAAAGACAAAGTACTATATTGTTGAATTCTGCATGACAAACCCTCCTTCATGCTGTCTCAAATATACCATTGCCAGCTGAATTCAGTAGTTACACAAAATTATAGACATGTTCTTTCATTAAAGCTTCTATAATAGCTTGAATTCAGACTAAGAAGAAAATACACAAAAATGTCCTAAATTCTCATTCATAATTACCTAAAGCCACTGAACTTTCAGCAAGGATGGAGCAGGGGCATAATTTAGCTCAACAGCTTTAAAATATGACCTAAAAAGAAAGAAAAAAATAGAGTGCCTACATTCTTTTTCTTTTCTATGATACACTAACAATTTAAAGACTGTGTTATTTCTAGCCCAATTCCTGCTCAATCCAGTTTGGAAAGCATGCATTTTCGATGTAATTTTATTTGTTAAATTGATGGGTAGGAGGAAAATAGCACAGACATTTCCTATTTTCATTCAGACTTTTCAAACTTCAAAGTATTTACTTACAGCACAGCAAAACCACATTAGAACATGTTTTTGCTGTATATTCAGACCTTCGATTAAGGTCTTGGAAAACTGTGTTAGTATAGACTTTCAATGAGTACTCTCTATAAAGGCAGAGAAAAAGTTATTGATAGTTGTGGTACTTTTAAGTGAAAAAGAGAAAAAAAAGTTAGGGAGGAAACCCATTTCTTTCTACTTGCAAACAAAAAAGTGCAAGCCCATTTCTATCTTTGTAAACCAGCTTGATACTGGAAAAAAATTACATAGGAATTACATAGTCCCACGGTACTCCAGACACTCCATTACACTCCAAGTTTCAATTTTAAATCAATGGGAATGACTCACAGTAGAAACATAATGCAGGTACATGTTTGCACTCAACCTATTTACAGTAATGAAGTTACCATGTATGTAATGATTTGAAGAATAGGAAGCTATAAAATTAAACAGATACTTCTCTGTTCACATGTCTTCTCTACAGATCTGATTCTGACCTCATCTAGGAGTGACAAACACCAGAGGAATCAAGCACGGGACCTTTTATTTGTCCTCGGGAAGAAAACCATTAAGATAACTAGGCAGATGAAGTTGTATTTCTTGACATAGAACAAGAGAGAGTCAAAGAGGAGTTCTGACTAGGTAATCTGTACTGCATCTACTTGAAAAAACACATACGGTTTAGAAAATGAATCCAATTTAAAAATACATGTCCTGGTTTCAGCTGGGATAATTTTCATCCTAGTAGCTGGTATAGTGCTGTGCTTTGGATTTAGTATGAGAATAACGTTGATAACATACTGATATTTTCAGTTGTTGCTAAGTAATGCTTATCCTAAGTCAAGGACTTTCCAGCTTCCCATGTTATAATGACTGAAGCAGTGAGGGAGTATAGCCAGGACAGCTGACCCAAACTGACCATATTCCATACCATATGACATCATGCTCAGTATATACTGTTGAGGGGGGTGGCAAGCACCTGTGTGGTGCTTAGCTGCTGGCTGGGGTTAAACCAGGACAATGTCTTGGTAAATATGACTGATGTTTGGCTCTACTATATAAACACAAATAACACAGGTACTACTTAGCCTGAGCCCCCCCTCCCATCTTTTTTCACATGCCAGACTACTTCTCATACTACAACGAGTAAGAAGTCTCACCTTGAATCTTTCCAGTTAATAATGAGAATTCTGTATGCTGCCATGGGTAAATTTGTTCCACTGTCCAGGTCTTCTTGAAATTGTTTCAATTTGCTAAAAGCTAAAGGCTTATCAACTACAGGACTTTCATAATTAACTATAATGTAAATCTTAACTGCATTAAATAACCTTTCCTAGCTAGAAATGTATTGACAAGTAAAACAAGCCTTCACCTTACAGCTCTCATACAATTTTAAGTTTAAATATTTAATGATTCAAGTCTTCCTTTTTTTTTTTTTTTTTGCCTTTAAACTAGTTTTAAAAAAAAATAGCTGGACATGAATTAGTTTGCAGGTTTTCACAGATTCAGCTTACAGTGGGGTTCAGGTCCACCTTATTACTTTGAGAAAGCCAACCAAGTAACTGACATTTTAAAATAATACCTTAAGTAGCATTCTTTCTTCCAGAAGGTCGTGACTATTCTTAAGACTTTTTTTTCTTTCAGCCGAGTTATGTCATCACTTGATAATCTTCAAGTAATTTCTAACATTTCCATGAGTTTAAGACCAGTGTTAAGCAGGACAGGTATGTCCTCATCGAGCTCTAACTCTGACCTCCTGCTTTCCCTAACACTTCCTATCAGGGAAAGCACCTGATAGAAAATCAGGTGCTGCTCATATTTATTTTCCTTCCTAATACAAAGAAACTTGAGATTAAACTGAATAGAAATATGTTTAATAATGATAGAAGCAAATACTTTTAGAAGGTGCATAATTAAATTGTGGAATTCAATGTCAAAAACTACAACTGAAGCCAAGATCTTAAGAAAAATCAAAAATAAACCAGGATTAGGTTTCAGCACATTTAGTGAGAATATCCAACTTCATTACATAGAACACAAATACTTACAACATACGAAAAACTGACTCAGGCAAAAGCTGACCTTCAAGGTGGCTTGCATGCTAAAAGAAACTTCTCATATAGGCAAAAAATGCTACAACTGTCCAGTATAATGGTTTGAACTTCTGTCTTGAAGGATCTGACATGTGCCTTGGTTGACCCAAGTTGCTGACTAAATGAACTCCTGTTCTGACCTGGCAACACAATTTACATTCCAGTGTTCTATATGCAACACAGAGTGTGACCTCCAACCACCTACCATGTTGCAAAGCTCTGTTTTCTCTCAACAAAACTGGAAGACTTAAAATGAAATTACACAATCTTATAAGCAGTTAAGCTGGGAAATTGAGAAGATCCTGCATAAAATTAAGTTTGAGGTACTTATATACCCCTTGTTATTGCGGCATCAAGAAGCACCACTACTCTCATTTCATTAAAGGAAAACTGAGATACAGAGAAATCAACTGTCTTAGCAAAAGTCTGTGATAAAGCTGGGATTGAACTTGTCTCCTGTCTCTCAAGCTGTAGTGCCCTACCAATTAGGCAATCCTTCTGGCCTGATCTGTGCTAGATGTGACTGAATAGGATACACAAAGCAATAATCACCAACTTCTGTTATGCCAGTGTGGTTAAATAGTTGACTGATTCAAATATCTTATTTTGTTCTTGATACTCAATGTTTGGATCAATGTAACAAGAAACAAAGAAAACACAGCTAATGCATATATATTGGCAACACTGCAAAATTAGCATGACTCCAAAACATCGTATGAAATAGTTTTATCTATGAAACTGAAGGAATACTTACTGCAGAGGCTGAAAGTTTGATGGATCTGGAAAGCAAATCTGTTCGTAGTTGGTATGTTCTAATGCCAAGGCAACAGAAGCTTCGTGAAGCAAAAAGCATGCCTGCATAGTAAATAAGTGACCTGAAAAAACTTCAGAGATTCCAGGAATTAGTTTCTACACATCACTAAGCAATTTTAAAAGGTAAGATCCCCTTCTCTTCCCTTCAGTGATTTTGTTTCATTGAAATAAGTTCTAGTAAATTATTACCTTATCACATTTGTAAGCATAGAGGATGAAACATTTTTACTGACACGGCTTCAAAATGTTTCTGAATGTCATCTAGAAGGCAGGTTTCCGCTATCTGACAACACTGATCTTCTTTTCCTTGAATGACAATTAAGACTAAATGCAATTCAAGGTTCAAGTCTGTGTTAGAATTGTTGTGAAAATGGGTTTCTGTAATAAAAATTGCTATTACAATTGCCAGTTTAGACAGAACAGAAAAAGAGCCCAATTTTTAAAAAGTCACACAGCTTTAAAACTGGTCTCCATTTTCAAGTGTTTCAAACCAGGTATTCTGAAACTGAAATAATCAAGATCACCAGTCACACTGGAGAGGCAGGCCTATGCACTTTATATAACTACACTAAGTTTTGCCACAGTGGCTTTCCAAACATCAAATATCTACCATGGCAGAAAACAGACAGCTAGAAAGGATGTTCTGTGTGGAGTAACAGATCATTCACTGACCAGAGATAATGTGCCCTGTTAATCAATAACTATAAAAAAGAAGTAAGAGCTGGTACTTCCAGAACTTATTTTTAAACATATATTTTGCATGACATTGTCAAACTGACTGGAATGTGCAAGAGAAAAATATGTAACCCATAGACCTATCAGAAACACAGTAGCCACAGCAGTGTAATTATTGACTTTCTTTTCCATAGTTTACTCATTAAAGAATAGATAACCCCTGCTTCTCCCCAGTCTTTGCTACCTGAAAAGGAGAAGAAAACAAAAGAGAAAAAAACTATACGAAACAAAGGAATGCCGTTGCCTGTTAAAACAATACCATGCAAACCTTGCAGACAGTAGAGAAGGTAATTCAATATCAAAGTAAAATATTACTTTTTCATTAAGAAGAATGGATTTAGTTCAATAAGACAAACTTCTTTACACTTTCAATGTAAACTAATAGAAAAGTTCAACCAATACTCCCTTTTAAGGATGCCTCATTGAATGAGTTAAGTTTTAAAAGTATATTAATTTTGCCTTTCTCTTATTCCATTGCTACAAACTCAGTCTCAATTCTGAAATTAGGGTCTTCTCACAGAGTACTGAGTTGTAGCTAACTTAGTTAGACCCTCAATAATACCCCTGTAATCCCATTGCATTTAGCAATCTGCAGGTATACAATTCATTGATGCTTCCTTTACAAGAAGAAATACTAGCAATTTGCTCTACTCTTCTGGCCTGAGGACTAGCGAAAATAAACAGCAATTAAATCTTTTGGCACTAGTCAGCAGATACCCTGAAAGGCACAAAAGAAATATATCTGTTTAAAAAGACCTGTAAACACATTTTAAGTTACTTGTAATAACAGCACTTAGCATATTTGATATAATCTTTGATAACTACATGAAATAAAAAAGGTTGTGAAGGCCTCTAATTCTCTCCTCGTATATACTTCCAGAAACTACTTACGTAACATGCTGATACTGTCCTAAAATGTGACGATAACAATAGCGCTATTCTCCCAGTCAGTCAGAGACAGGATTACTCTTGCAGCACACTGCGAATACTTGCAGTAGTTAGCACAGAGGGACAAACATGCGTATCTTTGCCTGTTTCATTTTGTATTAAGGAATAACAAAATGAAATTAAAAACTTGCAAACCTTACATGCGAAACTAACGTGCAACATTTGTAAGAAAAATTATTAACAGTTGTAAATACTTCTAGCATTAACGCCATGATGTACCGAAAGACAGTGTGGTATTTGACAAGCCATTATTTGACACGAGGCAATCGTACAAAACCACAACACAGCATGAGGAGCAGCAAACCTGTACCGCAGTGCCAGGCAGCTACAGACGTACTGCAAACCCTGTTTCAACTCTCTTAAAAACTTGCAAGTTCTTCAAACACATAAAATGCACTGGTCTTTGGGGGTGAATGAAGAGGTATTAATTTCTTCTTTCTTAGTCTTATCAATGTCTCTTTTTTCAATCTTGGAGCCAGCCACCAACTTTCTGGCCAGGAGTTGTGTCTGCTAAACTCAGAAATTCACAGTTAGGAACACTTATCATCCCTTTCTAATTGTCAGTGCTCTGAAGCATTCACGCTTGTCAGTCCTCCTGTAATTCAGGGTATCATACTCATAGAGAAAACAGGAAAATGAACATTAGGGAAAAAAAGATAACTTTTTTTTTTTGTGACGCCCATCTACAAGATAAAAAGCTACTGCTGCAGCTTCCAATTTTTTTAGGGGAGTGAGAAGCAAGGAAGGCTACCAGAAAGGTCAACACAGTAAATGTTTTTAGTGGGGCTGGGAGGAAGACACATTCTGGGTGCTAATATGGTTTGAACTCAAATTTGGTGACTTAAACTAGCCTGGAAGACATAGTTACACTTTGCCATGGGGACTCTATGAGTACATCTGTGTACTAACAATCATTTAGCTCATGCTGTGCTTCATAACCACTCCAGCACAGCTACAGCCCCTGAGGTGCAGGGTCTTCCATGCCCTGCACAGCTGCCCAGCCTCCCAGTCATACAGTACCCTGACTTCAGATGCTGCTGGACCACCGGGGCATTTTATGAGAAGTTACATGTTTGTAATGAATTGATTTTTTTTCCCCTTTGAAACTAAAGGCCAAATGCTGCCATCCCTCCATTTTTGAGCTTCAGTTATACCACCTCTATAAAAACAATGTTTGAGCTTGAAAGACTTACAGTCAGACCCCTTAAGCTGCTGCATTTTTTCCATGTAACAAGTAGTCTCATTTTACTGTGCAGTCTCAGCAATGAACCTTACTAGAAACACTGCAAGCCCATCAGCTATCACAATAACATAAACAATAACCTGCTATATTTGTGTTGTGTTTAATATTTGTTGGAAATGCAAACCTAGAAAATGCTACATCTCAACCAAACTTTCCGAAGCCTTTGAAAGACTGTGCATGCATGTGGAGGATGAAACCTTTAGAGAAAGCAAGAGTGACATCTTACCAAGGCCTCTCTGAAACTTTTTTCCCTACCACCTAAAGTAACAAATGACATGTCAAGCCAAGAGAACTGTTGCTAAAATTGCTGGACTCAGGGTATTCTTATTAAGGGCACTGAAGTAGTCAACATTTAGTAGTCAATGGAGAGCAGAATAAACCCCCATAATCCAGGAGGAAGCAGTTAATGACCTGCTATGCCACCTGGACACCCACAAGTCCATGGGGCTGGATCGGATCCACCTGAGAGTGCTGAGGGAGCTGACGGAGGAGCTGGCCAAGCCACTCTTCATCATCTACCAGCAGTCCTGGCTAACAGGGGAGGTCCTAGATGACTGGAGGCTTGTCAGCGTGACGCCCATCTACAAGAAGGGCCGGAAGGAGGATCCTGGAAACCACAGGCCTGTCAGCCTGACCTTGGTGCTGGGGAAGGTTACGGAGCAATTCATCCTGAGTGCGCTCACCAGGCATGTGCAGGACAACCAGGGGATCAGGCCCAACCAGCATGGGTGCATGAAAGGCAGGTCCCGCTTGATCAACCTGATCTCCTTCTATGTGGATGAGGGAAAGGCTGTGGATGTTATCTAACTGGAATTTAGTAATACCTTTGATACTGTCTCCCACAGCATTCTCCTGGAGAAGCTGGCAGCTCATGGCTTAGACAGGTGTAAGTTCACTGGGTAAAGAACTGGCTGTGGATGGCCGAGCCCAGAGAGTTGTGGCAAATGGAGTTAAATCCAGCTGGCAGCTGGTCACAAGCGGCGTCCCGCAGGGCTCAGTTTTGGGGCCAGTCTTGTTTAACATCTTTATCAATGATCTGGATGAAGGGATTGAGTGCTCCCTCAGGAAGTTTGCAGATGACACCAAGTTGGGTGGGAGTGCCGATCTGCTTGAGGGCAGGAAGGCCCTGCAGAGGGATCTGGACAGGCTGGATCCGTGGGCCAAGAGCAATTGTATGAGTTTCAACAAGGCCAATGCCAGGTCCTGCACTTCAGTCACAACCCCATGCAACACTACAGGCTTGGGGAGAAGTGGCCAGAAAGCTGCCTGGCAGAAAAGGACCTGGGGGTGTTGGTTGACAGCCAGCTGAACACAAGCCAGCAGAGTGCCCAGGTGGCCAAGAACGCCAATGGCATCCTGGCTTGTGTCAGGAATAGTGTGGCCAGCAGGAGTAGGGAGGTGATTGTGCCCCTGTACTTGGCACTGGTGAGGCTGCACCTGGAGTACTGGGTTCAGTTTTGGGCCCCTCACTACAAGAAGGACATTGAGGTGCTGGAGTGTGTCCAGAGAAGGGCAATGAGGCTGGTGAGGGGCCTAGAACAAGTCTAAGGAGGAGCAGCTGAGAGATCTGGGGCTGTTTAGTCTAGAGAAGAGGAGGCTGAGGGGAGACCTTATTGCTCTCTACAACTACCTGAAAGGAGGTTGTAGTAAGGTGGGTGTTGGTCTCTTCTCCCAAGTAACTAGCAATAGGACAAGAGGTAATGGCCTCAGGTTGCATCAGGAGAGGTTTAGATTTGAGATCAGTAAAAATTACTGAAAGAGTGGTCAGGCATTGGAACAGTCTGCCCAGGGAGGTGGTGGAGTCTCCATCCCTGGAGGTGTCCAAAAACCGTGTAGATGTGGCACTTCGGGATGTGGTTTAGCAGGCGTGGTGGTGTTGGGTTGATGGTTGGACTTTGTGATCTTAGAGGTCTTTTCCAACCTTAATGATTCTATGATTCTATTCCAGTTCTTCTTCTATAATCTACATGGAACAGAGAAAACTGAGCGTGGAGAAATAAATTTTACAGTATGGAATGAGGGGAAGGATGAAGTTGCGGGTTTTTCCCCTCACTTTTCCCCCTCATGGAGCAGCTGTGCCATGCAGCCACGCTGTATCACACACACGTTCCGCT